CTTTCCCTCAAGTTGCCCCGAGTCAGCAAGAGGAGGCCCGTCCTGGTGGGGAGGTCGGGAACTGAGGTTGCTGACCTTTCCCGGTCCTGCAGTCTCTTCACGCTCACCTTTTCTGAATCTCGGCCTCAGGAATTCCCCCCTGCTCCCCTGTTTCTCACTTCGCCTTTCGTCTTAACATTTGTACTGGGAAGTGGCGTGTACAGTGCCCACTACCCAGTCCCTGCAGGCCCCTTCCCCAGTGTTTGAGCCTCTCACCATCAAATGATCTCCGAGCAGAAGCAGACCTCAGTCACTTACCCTAAATTGGCCTGTCACTCTCCCCATTGTCCCAGCTTCAGTTTCCATTCCAGTCCCGGTCGCTTACAGGCCAGCACAAGCAAACCAGGTTGTGCTGAAGTCAGCGTTTCCAGACCTCCCTCCCTCTGCTCGTGCTGGCTCAGCCTGAGCGCTCTTACTCAGAAGGACTTACAGGTACTCAGAAGGACTCACCTCTCTTTCAGTCTCGTCCTCACCGTCTGGTGGGGGGGCGTGCCTGGTGCACAGACAATGACAGACGTAAGTCATGTCTCAGATCTACGGTCTGGACCCCAGGCTTGGGTGCCTCCACAACCGTGGCACACACTCACCTGTGCTCCTCACCACACCCCTGCCCACTCGCGTGGGGCCTCTCCTAGCAGAGGTCTAAGTGACATCTGCAGTGTAGACCTGCTGCTGGGTGCTCATAGCTTGAAGGCTGAGCTTGTGCATCGTGGCGTGTGTCTTTAAAGGAGGGCGAGTGACCCTCCTGGTAAGGAAGGCGTGTAGATGGACAGGGTGCCAGTGTACACAGACCACAGTGGGACAGGCGGTTGTGAGATGAGGAAAAGGTGGGTCCCCCATGAGTCATCAGGTCAGAGGGACCTCAGCTAGTCCTGTAAAGACTTTGCTATTTGTATTTGCATCCCAATAGGATACTAAAGTTTCCAGCCTAGCTCTCCTTCCTGGTCTCTGGACTCCTATACTAGCTCAACCTCGACCCCCTCGGAAGTCTCATTGACACCTCGACTTCCATGCATCTGACACTTACTGACCTGCCCTGCAGTCTTTCCTGTCTGTTCTTGCCCCAAGCTCGCCACCTGGAAGATGTCCGCGGCCTCGTGCAACTTCACATCAGACTGTTGGAACGTCTGCAGAGGCCCTGGCCACATAGGCGCACCCCTTCCCGACAGTCTGTTCTGAGCGCAGGGATCACAGCTGCTCTTTCCCAGCAGTGTACCCTGCCCTGGGCTTGCCCCGTCTGTCCTGGGGCCTCCCACCTTCTCTAACCTGCTCTGACCATGTTGACCCTGTACTGCGCCTCTGTCCAGAATGGTTCATCTCCTCACCTCCCTTATGCCTTGCCAAAATGTCCCCCTCCTGGCCTTGCCTGTCCTTACCAGCTGACTTAGAATGACAGTTACCCCCATGTTCTCATCTCTTTTTTTATCTGGTCCTCCTCCCTTTTTTTCTTATCTTTTTTTTTTTTTAAGAATTATTTTATTTAACTTTATCTCATTTTGACCAGAGAGGGACAGAGTGGGGGAGGGAGGGTGAGAAAGCAAGCCACCAGGTTCAGGCCTCAAACCACGGTCGGCTACATGGGAGTCCAGCGTCGTCAACCACCACACTGCCTGTCAGCCCCCTGGTCCTTCTTCTATTACTTAGCAATTTTCATCAAACATAACTGTATAAATTGCTTATGTACTCTTTTAATTTTATATCACCTGTCTCAACTGCTAGAATTGTAAACTTCATGAAAACAGGAACTTTGTTCTCCGCCAAGCCCCAAACACCCAGAAAGGTGTACACACAGTTCCCACACACGAGACAGCAGTTACTGCTTACCATTTCTTTTTAACTCTATTTCAAATATATATAGAAATAAAGTTGAAGTACTGCCACATCTGTCAGCGTGCACGCAGGCTGTGGAGTCAGGAAGGCTTGGTTTGAAGATAAAAACTTGGTGAAGATTCCTTTTTTTTTTTTTTTAAATAATTATTTTATTTATTGTTATTTTTTATTTGTTATAAACATGTGCTCAACAGAGAGAGAATGAAAAAGCAAGCTGCTAGGTCTGCGACTTGAACCATGATCAGGCATGTGGGAGTCCAGCACCTTAACCATCACACCACCTGCTGACCCCTTGGTTTCCATTTTTCTTTCTTTCTTTTTTAAGAGAGAAATTTTTGCTATAGGACACGTATGTTTACCAGAGAGGCAGAAATTACTCCCCCCTGGTGTGTGGGGGTGTTAGCCATGCCACAGTCCCTTCTCCTCCAGTCTCTTGTGATTTTGAACATGCACACACATGAGCTCAGTGTGAGTTTCAATTTGCTAGGTCTGGGACTTGAACCGTGGTCGACCATGTGGGAGTCCAGCGATGTAACCACTATGCTGTCTACTGGTCCTGTAGTTGCCATATTTCTTGGGGGTGATTTTATTTACCTCTTGGGGTTGGCTAGTGCAAGGATTAAGTGGACTAACGTGTATAGCTTTTAGTGTTTGCAAGGCACATGGCCAGCACCCAGCCAATGTAGACTGTCCACGATGCCCAGAACTTGGTGACATGGACAGAAGACTTCCCTGAGTGGTTTTCTTAAAGACGTTTTTAGTGGCTGATGGGGCTGTCCTGGAGAAGGAAGCAGAGCACCAGACTGGGGCCACCTCCTTGGTCACTTTATAGCTGTGATTGTCAATTAGGAATTACTGGGGGGCCAGCAGGTGATGCAGTGGCTAAGGCACTGGATTCCCTCATGGCTGACAGTGGTTCAAGTCCTGGACCTAGTAGCTTGGAACTCAAGCTGGGACATGAAAAAGGATTGCGGTATGGCCATCCCCTGGGGGTCTCACTTTTCCTCTCTCTTGTTTTCCTGGCAAGTGCACACACCCTATAGCAGAAACCTAGGAAAAAATGAGAAAAGAAAAAAATTCTCCCCCATTTCAGAGTTATATAAAATTGTATATAGACTAAATGTATAGCGTTTATAACGTATAAATATCATATGTAATCAAATACACCCGTTTTACACATATAAGAGTGGCTACTGGGCCAGCCATGGCCTGTAGTGAGGAGCCTGAATCCTGCGTGGTGCACGTGCAGCTAAAGTCCCTGCAGCTAAAGTCCCGAGCGTGCTCAGCGCATACAAGTGTCTGCCTCCTGCCCTCGGGTCTCCTTCACTGTCTGCCTCCTACCTCGGGTCTCCTTCACTGTCTGCCTCCTGTCCTCGGGTCTCGCTCACTGTCTGCCTCCTGTCCTCGGGTCTCGCTCACTGTCTGCCTCCTGCCCTCGGGTCTTCACTGTCTCGCTCCTACCTTGGGTCTCTCTCAGTGTCTGCCTCCTGCCCTCAGGTCTCGCTCAGTGTCTGCCCTGCCTCAGGTCTCACTCTGTCTGCCTCCTGCCCTCGAGTCTCGCTCAGTGTCTGCCTCCTGCCCTCGGGTCTCCTTCACTGTCTGCCTCCTGCCCTCGGGTCTCACTCAGTGTCTGCCTCCTGCCCTCGGGTCTCCTTCACTGTCTGCCTGCTGCCTTCAGGTCTCATTCAGCGACCCTGTCCAGGGACTTATGTGGGATCTCAGAACTGAGCATCAGCCTAGGGGATCCACTTTATAGGAGAGGAGGTGCAGGCGTGAGCATGGGACTGTAAGACCTGTCGGCACCTCCTTCTGTGGTGAGCCGTGGGGTCCAGCTCCCAGTACACAGCACTTCACCCAAACTTTTTCACTCATCCAGAGATGTAGTTAAGACATTGAGGGGGTCCAGCAGATGGCATACTGGTTACATCACTGGACTCCCATGTAGTTGATCATGCTTTGAGTCCCATACTCGGTGGCTTAAAAGCCACACCAGGCACATGTACATATATGCCCAAAATCTTGAGAGGAGAGATTATGGCCTGGCTATCCCCCACAGGGGGGTTAGTTCTCACTTTCTGTCTCTCTTTCTCTTTGTCTCTGGTGAATGCACATTCCCTGTAGCAAAAACTAATCTCTCTTTAAAAAAAAAAAAAAAAAAGAAGTGGACATCCACAGGCTGGGCTGGGAAGTCATAAAATGTGTGTGGCAGATGACATGTATCTGGGCCTGTGAGCGATGTGTTTATATCAGTAATAACTTAGCCAGCTGGAAAACGTGCAGAGGACTCACACATGCACTTCACGAGGGAGTGGCCAGAATGTTCTTGAGAAAGTAGTTAACAGCATTAATCAAGAAAGAATGTAGGGCCGGCAGGTGGTGTGGTTAAGGCAGTGGACTCTCACGTGGCCAACTATGGTTCGAGTCCCACACCTGGCAGCTTGCTTTCTCACTTTTTCCCTCTTTCTGTGTCTCTCCCTGGTAAAATTAAACAATAAATAATAATAAGTAAAATTAAATATTTTTTAAAGAATTATTTTTATTAACTTTACTTATTTGTTTTA